CCCCAAAACCCCAAAACCCCAAAACCCCGCAAAAGGAGATATATTTTAGGATAGCGAGTATAAATTAATCTTGATAAATATTATAAGAGAGGTAGGAATAATGGATTGTAGAAACTAAAATTATATACTCAACTCAAACTAAACTCAAATAAATTCTTCTATTGGCTCTTTAGTTGAAAGCTCGAATTCAAATGATTCTTCTGTTAGTCACTCCCCAAGAAGATCAAATTTTATTAAGAATCCAGTTAATCATGAGAATAATAACTATTTAGGGGTAATTAGGAATAGTAGTTAAGCTTTAAAAAATAAACTTAGTCCAACAATTGTGATTAAGAATTAATAGAAAAACATACGTTTTAACACTGAAGCAAATAGTCCAATTAGACAATTAGGTCAATATAAAAGCAAAAAAATAATAAAGATATTTGATCCCGTGAATAACAACTTAATGATGCGTATTAGAGACCCTAAAGTTCCCATCAAACCAATAGACAAGTCTGTTGTTGGCATAAATCTTGAAGCAGCACTTGATCCTTTAAAGTATAACCGAACTCCTGACTTTGGATATATTGAGGAAAACAAGCTAGAATTTAAGAACACCAAGAGAGGTTGGGAATTGATTGCTTAAATTCTTAAGCCAAAAGAGTAGTAAGTTAAATTTTGGAAATTAGTAGAGAGACTTTAAGAAGTGAAGGATAAGTATAAGAAGTTTGTTTAAAAATAAAAAGATTTGCACAAGAAAAAAAGAAGGCATGCTTTCAATCAATTTGGATTAATAAATAATCCGAATGAGAGTGCAAAGTCAGTTAATAACACAAGCTTAAAAATAAGAGAAACATCTCAACCTTCACGTACCTCATCTAGAAAATAAAAAAATAAAGTAGTTTTCGAAGATTAAGTATAATCCGAAGCTACAATCCTAAATACTAGCATAAGTATAACGAAGAGTAATACCTAATTCCTAAGCCCTAAAAAGACTAGAATAATTCCAAAAATAAATGCAGATATTTCTAATCAAATAACTAAAAACTAATAGAATAATAGTAGACAGTTAGAGCAAATTATTTCTTAAGAGAACTCTGATGATAGTGATATATAGTTTGAATCTCCTAAGATTCAGGAAATAAAGTGCAACATTTAAAATCTAAAAAAATAGAGTACAAAGTTCATGGATGATTATACATCTATTAAAAAGGAAATCTTTAAATAACCATAATATACTGCTAAAAGACGAACTTCAAACTTAAATGATGCTATTTAGGTTTAGGAGGCAGAACATGATAAACAAGTTGAAGAAAAATAAAAATAATAGACTGATAAAAGTAAGAAAATATAGAAGGCTGTAACTCAGATGTTTAATAAAAATTAACTTGATGAAATCTTCAAAGAAAATGAATTATTCCAAGATATGCCTAGTAATTAATATAAATTAGGTTTCAATCCTGATCTAAAACTAAATCCTGATCAATAAATGGATTGTCTGGTTAGCAAACTAACAATGGATTTAAAAAAGAAAACAGAGGAGATAATTTATGAGAACTAAATTATGTTATTTAAAAACAAATCTAACTTAGGAAATAAAAAAAGAAGGTAGACTCAAATTTTTCAAATTAATGATTTTCCAAAGTTCAAAGCTGACTTAAGAAGAATTGAAAGTGAAGAAAATGATAGTCTTAAAACTGATGAAGAGTCTTTGTCTTCACCAAGAGCAAACTCTAGATCGAAAAACTAAAAGAGATTAAGTAGTGAGTTTAATGTAAACATACAAAGCAGACTAAAATCACCAAGTTAATTAGAGAGAGAAAAGCAATAAGAACTGGAGGAAAAGGAAAAATAAAGATAATAAGCAATAGATGAATAAAGAATGAGAGAACTAGAGTATCAAAAGCGGAGATAATCATAGCAGAATTCAGTTAGGCAAAAGTATAATAGGAGATTTACAGTTATTTAAATGAATAAGGATAGATTATTAAGTGAACAAAAGTCATAAACTCCTAATAATATTTCTATAGTAACAACAGCTGAAGAGGCATCTACCAAAATGCATACGTCGTTAAATAAATCTCAATTACTTGAGAATAAGCCACTAAACATTTAAATATTAAGGCCAAAGATAAACTAAGAAGACCAAATTATAGCTTTCTAATTAAGATAGAATAAAGCAAAGTAAAGAAGAAAAGATCCATCATTTGAAAGCTAATTAAGAAGTCATAATAACAGTTTGTTCGATGAAAAAAACATACAGTCAGGATCAACGTTATTAGTAACTTCTTAGTTTAGTTTACCTACTACTCGATATAAGTCTTAGAATAATTGATACTCTATGAATGCCAAAATAGCTGATTACAATAATGCTAGTATAAATCGTCCTCTACAGTCTTTGCAGCTATAAACGAGCATTTAGGAAAGAAACCAATATATTCTAGATAAAATGAAAATAAGATTTTAAAGTTAAATAAATTCAGAGAGAAGAGCATATTGCTATTCAGAGGCAAATAATAGTATGGTTTTACAGAATGATTGTGAAACTAATACGACTAATAGAAATGCGAATGAATATATTGATACAAAAAGATCATAAGAGAGATCATCCACTAATATGAATGATGGCATCTAAAAGGAATTGGTATTGACAAATATATATACTAAGAGGCTTAGAACCTAAAGGAAGCAGGAGAGATTGCAAATATCTTCAAATTTCTAACCTAAACCAATTTTTATTAACTTTGACAACAACTAAGCCATGAGTCAAGGCTTTATATTAAAGAGAAGCATCAATACTCCCACATATTCACCTAAAATGATATCTCGTGAGCTAATGAAAAAGTATAACCAGGATTACAATATAAATCAAAAGTAATAAATCATAAGGGATAAAAGTTGAGTATAGCTATTGCATTTAATGTTTGATTGAGCATATTTAGACTAACTTAAATATATTTCTTTATAAGTATTATCAAATTAACTTAATTTAATAAACTTTATCTCAAACTTGTGGACTTTAGGGTGCTTAGAAGCTCTATTATTGAGTTGGTTAAATATAATACTGGTATTAAGGATATTGTTGCTGTAAAGGTTATTGATATTGATAAGCTTAAGCATATATTTGAGTGGGCTAAATATTTTAATTGCTGTAATTTTATTATGGCTAAATATATTATTATTATGGAGCATAATTATAGCTTTGATATTCTACTGGTAAATCTTAGGCTAAATAATAAGGTTAAGGGATCAAGCCACTTTAGTTTTACTAGACAAGCGTCTAGGTATTAGGGACGAATCCTTACTATTACTAATAAGTATAGGGGACATTTAAAGTTGGTTAATTTAAATACTACTGTAGTGGATTCAGCTGTCTTGCATTCTGGTACTGCTAAAAGTTAATGATATAACTTTCATCTAAATGATTAAGGTATTTTGATTCAACTTTTTAAATGCTTTTATCAAATTTAAGTCGGTATCTGTAAGCGAAGAAAGTAAAAACTGCTTAAACTATAGCTGCCCTGCCAAATTTAGCTGAGCCATAATTATTATTCTAAATAAACTTGTAGAGTTAATAACCTGAAATTGGGCAAAGTATCATAGAAGCGATAGAGAATGTAATAAAAGGATGGTATACACTATTGAATTCTTTTAACTCAACGGGATCTAAAATGTCTTTTTTGTGCCTAAGGATAATATCGAATTGGAGTTTTTCTCTAACTTTTGAAGTTAAAGTTTGTAGCTAACCTTGTTAAATATTTTGCGATGCAGGAGTCATTAATTGAGAATATTAATTGTTCTAGATTTATTCTGGCATTAACTAACCTTAGAATTAATGATGAGGATTAGATTAATTTAAAGCCTAATATTCTAAGCTAATAGGAGCTGATAATGCTTAATAGTTTAATTATTAGTTTTACATTTGCGAATTAAGTCCAGATGTTGAATCCTAAGAACTTTAATCGAAGCTTCTGAAATCAATATCGTAGGGAGATAAAGAGGTTGTAAGATTATTAATTTTTTCTTAGGTCTAGTGGTGCAGTTTATTATTATTATTATTGGCTGGTTGACTAGTTTAGTTCGAAGTTGATAGTGCATTTAATCCTGAATTTTCCTAAACATTTTCACTTTCCTTCTTTATTTAAGAATCGTTTTCCATTTTTATAATTTATTTTTTCTATATTTTTTAATTAGAGTCTACATTAGAATCTTTTCTAGTGGGGTTTTGGGGTTTTGGGGAGATCGGA